CGATCCCACGCCATCATCTAGACATTTACCAGAGCTGTTTTTCGTTAAGTAAAGGAGTTGAATTAATACTTTGAGATAGAATATTAAAAAGATCAAAATGATCAAATTATTATTAAATATTAAAAACAATTTATAAAGAAATTTTGGAAAAGCCATACAAAAACCGTTGCTTATTCTTGAAAAAGTTCAACGAAAATATTTCAAATTGTCACCTCAAAATAAAAATGATGCTTTTATAGGCATTTAATAAAATTATAAAACAGTAATATTAATAAGCATGTATAAAAGCGCACTTTGTACTTGATTGCTACATGCATGTTCTTTTGCTACACACACAAATAATTTCTTCTGATATCTCTTATTTACTTAAAGATAATGACATTATTTTTACAAGTAAATTTGTACGCAAACACTACATTAAAAAAATGTCAATTTTCGATATTTTTTAAATCTTTATTATAAATTTTTTTGTTATCGTTATCAATCGATTGACTGATTGGCTAAAATACAGAACAATCGTTTGACCTTTGATCTAGAGTTCCGGTATTGTTATAACTTTCAACAGGTTAAGCATACGGTAAATGACAATCGTATACTGCGTGGGTATAAATTTTTGATGGCAATTTTACAAACATTACGGGAAGTTATACATAAATAAAGTGGAGTTTATTTTGCACGAAAAGTAGTGAGTGAAGTATTACGGTTTATTTTGCATTTTAATTTGAAATTTGTTCTCTTTTGTGCCTTGACGCTTAGTAACCAGAAAACGCTAAATTGTTATACATAATTGTAATTGTTATATAATTTTGATTACATTCATGAATATCCGCAATGTAACGCAGAATTGTTAGAAAAATCAAAAATTTGGGATGTCTATTGACGTAATCGTTTAGAGAATATGTTTTTATCAAAATTTTTTGTACATGTAAGGACCGCAAGACTATAATAAAGGTATAGAAAAGAATTAATTACATTCAAAATTTATTCAGCAAATGACGTTTATTTATTGAGACAGGTAGGTGCCAATTAGTCTCAATTAACCAATTACTACGCATAATTTTTAATTTCGACATTTCAAGTTTACCCACCAACCACGTCATTCTTGTTCCTTTTATTATTGGCAATATTTTAGAGGTTTCAGTTTTTAAAAGACACAACCGACTAGTTTGTTGCTTAAAGTAGAAGCAAGAGTGAAACTTCTGATCATCTATCTCTAGCGGAAGTAATTTAGTAGGTAAATCATGTAGGTCAAGGTGATGGTGTATAAAATTTACGTAGGTGAATCAAATCTGTGGTTACTCGAGCTTTAAAAAGGTTTCACTTTACAAAATTGAGCTGTCAATTCTTCACTGGCTTTCGTAAAGTGATGTTGAACTATTTATTTGATAAATAAGTTGATGAATGTCCACATAAATGTACTTATATTATAATCAGTCCCACAGTACGTGTTTAAATAGTTAAATTTTTTATATTCGTTATTGTTAATAATTGGCGTTTGTGGTTGCTAAGTGTATGATTATTTTTATTACAAATTTAGTTGGTATTTAATACCTTTTTCTACAAGTTGGAGGAGTTGGTTTGTTGTTGGTTTTTTTCCGTGATTCATAATGAACTTCGTAGCTGAAAAAGTGCGATAAAATTGTTTAGTTCGAAATAAAATACTTGTGGGTGGTAGCTCATTATCATTTTCACAATGGCAGTTGTGGTGATGAAGCCTGTAACTGAGAGCAGTAAGTAATTGTTAATTTTCTTTGTCAATTATTTACGGCAGAGTGAATGATGTACACACGGTAATTTTGATTACATGTTAAATAATTAAAACAAGGGTAAAAACGGTCTCCTAAAATCATTTTTTATTATACGCTTTGTTATATTTTAAATTTTTAAGTAAGGCTAATAGTTTTTCATTTATTTTTGTAAATAATTGTGCAATACAATATTTTCTTTATATTATAAACATACATAACTACTAAACTTTTTTCTTGTCAAAATCTCAGTATGTGTCTACGTTTTAGATGATATTAAGAAGAATTGTTTTTGATTTTATTTTTAACGTCAATGAAAGTGGGTACTAATTGATGTAATTATAGCTTTTGTTAGTTGAATAAACGGTTATTACAATATTATCTGTCTATCTACCGTAGAAGTACACAAAACGATTAAACTTTAAACAGAGGAGATAGAAAAATTAAACATTTACAATTAGCAAAATAAAATCAGTGCACCGTACATATAAAAGGTACGTTGAAAGATTATGTTGGAAGTCGATATTAATTGCATTTTTATTACATAGTTTTAGTTGTGTTTCGTCAATTACCTGTAAAACTTTTTCTAAGGATTTACTATTTTAATTTGCCTATGGTTGAGCATTATTTGTAGCAGTTGTAATTAATACATAAATTCTAAATAGTGAATGGAAAAATTGGATTTGTCAAATTAAATAATATTTGCAGCATTCTATTTACTATCCAATTAATTTCCTTGATGCATAATATTGCGACAAAAAATTTCGTGCAGTGTTATTCTTATGCGTAGTGATAATTAGGTATTAAGTGTGGTTTATGTGATCACTCTTTTCAATTGGTTATGCTTTCTTAAATATGTAGAATTAAGAATTGTTAGCACATATATTATTGGAATTACATATGTGACATTCATGTGGCACGTTTAATGCATAATAATGAAATATCTATGAAAACGTGTATTTTTACTCGACACTAATGCTAAGTATATTTTAAAGATTTCATTTTAATGAGAAAAATAAAATTATCGTTCAGTGAAAACTATAGATTAACCATTCTTGAGAAAATTGATAGGGTTAGCCTTAGCCTTTACTATATGAAAGTTGATCATAATGATATTAGGTAAAAAAACACTTTTTGAAAACTTTGACTTAATTTTTATTACATTCAAACAAGTTTCGACCTACAATGCCATCTTCAGAAGAAGGATTAATGATCCTTATTAATTAATGACCTTGTAGGTCGAAACTCGTTAAGAATTTAATAAAAATTAAGTTAAAGTTTTCAAAAAGTGTTTTTTTACCAAATACTATTAATTAATTTCAAAATAGAAATATGGGTAAGTATAACACTAGTAAAAAATGATGATTGTCACCAATACGTATAAATAGACTAAACTTTGCAGTCTAATCGTGCATTTAGCATTGCGATTTTAATTATTTAACATGTATAATGTCCAGCTGTTTTATGTGTCAATAATAAACTTTTGATTCGCTATTAAATACTATATTTATCGAAGATGGAGCATTATTTTCGTTGTCTTCATTACCGAGCGATTTGAAAGGCTATTGAGCTTCCAAATGCGCATGAATAATTAATTTTTGCACATTTTCATTTAAGTATTAGAATAGACAAAGTCAATGAATCCAAGATTACAGTTCTAGAATTTGATTTAGGATTGCGCGTGTAAATGGCACAAGGACATTTATGTAATTATCCTTAATGGGACCCGGAAAAAAGCTAACAATAAATTTTGACATATGTATCAATGTACAACCTTCTTGCTAACAAATATACTCCAAAATATGCATTTTATTAATATCTAGCATTAAATGCTGTCCTTAATGATGATTTTTTACAATCCATAAGGACCTCGCATAATCCTTGTGGAAAATATGATGTAGCAGGATTTTAATAAAGTGGTCGATCGAGTGGCATTGTTAAGGTAGAAAAGACAGAGCCGGAATAAAATAAATTCATACATTTAACGATTACATAGAACCTTTTCAGAAATATTTAAATCATTATTAAATATCAATGGAAACAAATCAAACGATTTTAACATTAGGATCGGCTTTATATAAACAATTAAAATTTTAAATTATGAATTAATTTTCCCTTTACTTTCCGGCGGCTATTTCCAGTTGGTCATAAATTATTTTAGGTAGTCATAAATGATAGCTGCTACTAACGTTAGGTTAGAGATGCCCTTTGGTTTTCATATGATTGTTACAAGGACTTTTTGACAAACGGCAGGTTCATTGTAAAGTTAATATACCTTTTTAGCACAGTTTATTTAGGATCATCACGTAAGGTTATAGAAATAATGTAATTCAACTGCATAAAGATTTATGATATAAAATAAAAATTTAGTTAAAGTTAATTTAAATCATTATATAGCTAATAAATGCAAAAAAAAAGTTATCATTAGTCAGTTGATTTATTATTCTGCCACGTCATGACGTACGCTAGGGATAGCACTTAGACCTAATTTAAATAGATTTGTAATTAATTCTGTACGTAACCTTCGAATTTCCATTTATTTAACTGAAGTAAATGTCCCATTTCCGTTGATATCTATTTTAAAACTGTATTTGGAAGGCATACACTCGAGAAAATTTAGCACAGTATGTAGACAATTGCATATCTACTTATGCTTTCTGTTATCAGAATAAAATTGTTTTAGATGAAAGTTTCATTTGATGCATCTGCATGTTTCATTCGAATTTATACTGTACAGACTAAAAATACATATAAAATATTTTGCAGGATAGGTTAAAAATAAGTTTCCTTTACAATCATTGGAAATATTTTAGTAATTGAGATGTTACGTGTTAGCTAATGTGTGTGCTTTATGGATTTGCCATTGTCCGGATGTAATATTTGTAATGTACTGGTGATTGTAATACTTGATAAAAGGAACGACAATTAATAATGATAGATATTGTTATATATAAGTTTTAGCAATTGATACAAGATAGGCATCTTTCTGATGATTCAAAGTTTAAATGAGAATTTTTTTAAAATCGTCCAGATTTGGACATAATAACTAAAAACTTCTTAATATCCCGATAGCGTTTATTTTCGTTCGTTTGGCAAGTATTCAAACAAACATTTACCCGAATAGTACTAAAAATCCTAAATTTCAAATCCGATATATCGGTGGATCTAAGTATACTAAGTTACTTCACCAGTGGCGTAATTTAATGCTTGCAAAATTACGTAAGCTTCACCATAATAACAAATATGCTCTGTCCGTATGGTTTTCAAAAGATCAAAAATTTGTTTTAGAGGAATATTATTCATATATTTTGTTTTTTTTTTAGAATTCTTGTTAACCTTGGTTATTTGACTAAATATAACAGAAATAGTATCTAAAAGAAATTGATGTATTAAACCCTGTGAGCTAGAATCAAGGAAGTGTAAATCCTGAAAAAAATATGTGCTCTGCTGTTTTAATATATTTTAATTTTGTAAGATTATTACTTGGTATTTATAAAAATTGTTTTCTATTAAATTTATAAATATTTTGGCCACGTTTTAAAATATAATTTATTACCGTCAGTGATTATGCAATCCTCAAAGAAATTCTAATATCTAGCTATTACCTAGTAATGGAGTAACAGCCAAAAAAAATCTATGAAAAAACGTAAGCAGCAATTAAGAATCTGCGTATAGAGACGTATTTTGTAACAGAATTCTAAAAATACATTGCTTTGTCTGCTAAATAATAAAATTTATTTTTTAAAAATTACTTGCGATTAGTCGAGGCGTTTTACGTCACGGACGTGTCTTCAATATAAAATTAAGAACGACAGAAATATTTAAATTAGGCACTATAAACAGTAGACCTTGATGGTCACACGGTTTTCGCCGAAACTTCAAATATTTAATGGGTGATCGAAATTGGGATTTACAAACTTAAATAATATTAATAAAGAAAATGACACAAGAGGGTTTAGCAATACCGTACTATCCCGAAATCCAATAAAGGGAAAGTATCAGAATTATTTTCAATTAAAAATATTACATACTTATTAAAATCGATCATCAAAATTTTCTCTACATTTCTGGATATCCTGCTTGGAAATAGCAGAGGGAAGGACATTGCAAAATATTCCGATAATGACGATGCAAAATGGAAAATAATAAATGAAATTTCCAAATTGAAAATGTAAAATAAAACATTTTCATCTTGAAATCATTGTCGCACGGGGTGGAGTTTTGCACTTTAATGCAGCAACCAGTAGAATAAATCCTGTAAACATTAAAGGTAATTAAAGGATAACGTTTTGCATTTTTTCAAGTTATCTGGTTACAAGTAAATGATTCTTTGCATGCATTTAGTTGCAGTTTTAAACTACTGTTCCATAGTCGAGACTGTGTGCCTAAAAAGAATCTCTAGATAACTTGCAATCTACCTTGAAAAAGCCTTGTAATGAAATGCGAAACGTGGGGGTGGTATTTTAGAATCACATCTTTTATCCTTTAATCGTTAAGAATAGAAATTAAATCTCTATTTAGGTAAAGATTTCGCAGTCGTTGTTAATGTCGTCTTTTTTTTAGGGCTTTCTAGGCGTCGTCTTTCACCGTTTATCCTCGACGTTTCGTCGCCACGCACGGACGACATCTTCAGGAAAATAGAGATCTGCATCAAAATATCTTGAAGATGTCGTCCGTGAGTAGCGACGAAACGTCAAGGATAAACCCTGAAAGACGACTGCCACAAAGAACGAAAAGCTATGACTACAGAAATTAAATCCTTTATCTTTACCAGCAGTAATACGAGGGTGGATTGATAAGTTTCCGGCCTGACCAAGAAAAACAAGGTTTTTAAAAATTTTTTTTTTTTATTTCTCAACATAATCTCCTCCAAGGCTGATACATTTCTCATAGCGGTGTTCCAGTCTATTAATGCCATCTCTATAGACTGATTCGTCAAGCTCCTCAAAATAACCATTTACAGCTTCGATTACTTCTTCATTGTC